GGACAATATTTTTGTAGTAGATCCATCCCAGAAGCTATTGAGTTACAGAGTTAATACGAAATACTAGAGGTTGAATAGAGTTATCAGACATTCCAAAAGATATCATATCGTATTTATTACCAACTTTTGTGATCTTGATTACTAAGTGACATAATTTACAGATCATGTTAAACACTTCCTTTGCAGACTAACTTGATAAGTTACAAAATCCATATGCGTTAAGAATAAATCAGTGCAAATAAGTTTAACCAGCTTAATACACTAATTTAAATATAAAAAAACAGAATATCTTTCTCATAGATCTGTTTTACGGTCAACTATCACACTAGCCCCCAAATGCCCTGGTATGGCCGAGAGTGGGGTGGGCCCCTCTTCGTTCCTCTCGAAATGCTCTCAAACGGCCACGCGTATACAGCCTCTGTCAGGGAAGTCCGATTCACTGCCTTCTCGTGGCATTACTGTTGTTTACGAAAATGAGAGGACGAAAAGCGAATGTCCGGCGCTTTAACCGGATCCCAAACCAGTCGTGCACATGGGCTCCAGTATCTTAAGGGAACGAATGGCATATGAACCAATCGTTGGTCACCGGCTACCATGGGACTGCATCTCCTCACGATGCTCCACTGCCTTGTGGGTCAGACCTCTAGGTCAGAGGCTCGGGGTGTGACCCCCTAAGAAAACCACCTGCTTCGGTCTGAGCACCCGGGCAGTATCACAGCCCACACACAAATATAATGATAATGAAAATGTGTGGCGCATATATATTTGATGCCCTTTTGTACCAATATTTATGTGTTCAAATAAATAAATAAATAATCGCACGAATATGAAAATTAATGTAACATGAGAAAAATAAAACGAGGGTAATATGGGGGAATACAATGTGAACGAATTAAGAAGTACATTCTTTTTTCTCTCTAAATTTCATTCATAAACCTTAAATGCTTAATTGGGTAAAACGTGAGTCAATCTCTTCATAATTTAATTCTAATTTTTAAATACTTTAAGGAATTTAAGAGTTTTAATTAATACACTTCGTGGACGTTAAAGTTTCCTAAAAATAAATTAAGTATTTATTCATCTAATGCTACAGTCCACTAATGTAGAATTAGTCTACTTGAAATGTCAACCAAATAAGGATTATAATCAGAGAGGGATAATAGCTAGCAGCGGAATCCAGGACATGCGTTTCATACTACTTGGTACTTCTCAGCTAAATGCACCTGCATCCCAGAGTTGATATTTACTCTGGGGCTCGAACACAATACTATTCGTTTTAAACATTATCGCGTTATCCAGTAATTGTTTTAATTTGATGTGAAAACCGTCTAACTATTTATCGGTCTTATAGTGATTAAATAAACGAAATATATTTCAAAATGTGTTACATGTGTAAATCAAAATTACTAGGTTTTTTTCTCTTACATAATACAGATTATAAATTACTTAAATGTATTTAAGTTGTATTTAAACTTTTGTGCCATATTTTTGGCTACATATCGATCATGCATCTATACCCTCAACCCCGACAGACAACAACATATCATTGTATGGAATATAAATTTATTTTTACATTAGCAACCATATATGCATGTTGTGTTGTAAACAGTATACATCAGATGGACTGTTTTAACGATAACATTGTTATTACCAATATTATTGTGTCCAATAACAACCGAATTATCAATTAATCAATTGTACTAAATAGGTTGTGTTTAACATTTTTGACCTACATTATTCCGGATGTTTAAAAATCTAATAAGTATTGATAATTTAAATGATAATAGTAGCTAAACAATGAACATAAATAAATTTATGGAGAGGGAGACATTAAAAAAAACGAAACTTATTTATTAACAAGAGATTGTAACGATGCATGAAAAGGGCTGAGTTTATGGAACTCACAGAATAAATTTACATGAACAATATTATTTGTTTTGATAGCTGTCAAAAGATAAGCTAAAATGGCTTAGTGACAACTTTCTATGAAATTCTAGACTTATGCTTCGACTTATTTGAGATAGACTAATCAGATATATATGAATTTCATAACTAGCAATTTCAATGAAACTGGAAATTGACAGTCATGTGGTAACGGAGAAGATGAATAATGAAACAGAAATAAACCAAATTACTCCTCTAAAATCTCTAAATTCATCATACCAACAAATTCAGAAGAATTTTTTTCTGTATCAAAGCTGAAACAAGATGATAATTCATGTGAGTAGTATTCATAAGTTTAGAACAGAAAATACATTAAGACTGTTGAAAATCACATATAGGAATTCATTATCTATGAAGAATTATCGACTTACTATGCAAATAAATCCATACATTTTGGATTTCTTTAAAACAATGCACTCTTTCAAATAAAATCTAGATTTTAATGTAATTTAACTTGGGGTTCTCAGTACTTTACGAATCTGATTGACTTCTGAAATAAGATTTTCTTATCAACACTCAAGAAAACTATTTTTAGACTATCTGCTACTTGTTGTTAAGATTCAACACCGTGTTACTGAATTAATCACATAAACGGAGTTAGAATTTATTTTGTCATCTTGAGTGCTGTTAGAGGTATGAAATCATTTATCACTTCCCGCTTTCCCACACAGTGGAATGGTTCTTCTAGAGGTACATGTAAAGGAAATTGGATTAGAGATGGTCTTAGTGACCTGAAAGCGTGACCGCAGTGCCCAAGGCACAACTGCTTGAGGCAAGTCACACACCTTTTTGTGAGTAATTTTCGTGTTAGCTCCGTACTTGTTGAGACCTTACCGCCGGAGACGGATATCCGTGGGATAAGGCGAGGTGTGCATTTTTAGGGTCGACCTTTTCTAACCCAACCCCTCCTTGTAGGAAGACAGCATTACTGCCATGCTGGCTGTCTGAAGGAAACACCTTACTGCCGTCACACCTCTATACAGTCAGCAGTACAACTTTGCCCTCGGACATTGGGTTTGCTGCTTTTGGTCTTACCGTTCTTCAACCGACCTGTCTGGCAATGGTAGGACCTTGAGGAACGATTGTTCCAAACAGTATAGCTCGACTGGCTGATCACAACAGGCAAGCCCGACCACCACGTCAAGGTAGCAACAATGGTCGAGTTTTTTTGTCATAAGTTTGCATCAGATGAATCAATTTCCGGCGATATCATAACAAATGTTGTTTGTTCTCACAATGCATTTGTTTTTAGTGAAAACCTTAGTAAATATGCAGCGAAAATTGTCAATGGGTTCAAATCTAATTATAGTTCTGACGGACCAATGAAAAATGTTATCTATCTTAAAAATCCATTAATGTCTAGTCAGTGTGAGAAAAATATTTCAAATGAGTCAAAATCCAATCACCTTTCGGATGTCATTGTAACAGATATTGGGCGCTCTCACACCTCATATATGTTAACATAGAATCCCTCCTCAATGATATGATAAATCAGTTGACATAACGAGTGTTTGCCAAGCAGTAGCGAGACCAGAATGTCCAGGGATCACAAAATGACCCCACACGTCCCGATACGCACATATAATGAATGTGCTAGTAGTGATAAAACAGTTCAGGTCAATAAAGTCATATTATTTGTAACGTGGATACATGAAGATCAAACACTATTTCGTAGGGGAGGGAGAATCATATATGCATTGAATAAAGCAATGAAGTCAGAAAGTTAAATGGTCATCTTTCCAAATAAAGCTGGAACACAACCATGTGACCGGCCGGGATCTCAGGGAGTACGAAAAAGAAAAACCCTTGAACAGACTCTCTACGAAAAACATATTCTCACGTATTCCATTAAAAAAGAAGGGGAGGTGATATGGCGGGACGAAAAGTCAAAATTAGATGGATTTACTCATTATGATTTTTATTCAGGATTACTTCCGTTTTAATTCAATGTAATGATTACTCAATTTAATATCTGTTCCTGTTTTCCTGTAAGATAATCTGTTATGTCATAACATACAATATTCTTGTATTAAAAATTGACATGAACCATACTCAGCATGACATATGATCTTGTCATAACTATAAGTATTATTCATGTATGTGATTTTATCCTAACTATTAATCAAAAATAAGTGTATGAATCAATATATATATGAGTGTATTTTCTACTAGACTTGTCGTGGTTGTTCATGCTTATGGCTGCTTATGGAATATATTTCCTTCTTCCGAACTTGAACTTCTCTCTCTAGTCAGCTGGGCTGGGACGTATCGGAATAACTAGCTTATCCGTCATTGTGTCACAGAGTCTACGTTTCGTTTCCAGATTAGGGGAACTCGTAATCTTTTCAAATGTAACAAAATTTAATGTCATACGGGAAAACAAAACAAATACCATACTGGGTGATCACTACATTTAATTAAAACAGAATTAATGTTGAACAAAAGTTTTAATGAGTAAATCAATCTAATTTTGACTTTTCATACCATCATATTAGACTGAAACCTCATTCTTCGTTATTCAGTAGTTTTAAAACTAACTAACTTGTAACCAAAGATGGATGGTGGCTGGCAGTTGGATCCAGAACATACGTTTCGTCCTACCTGGGACTCATCAGCTGGATGCCCCTACACCCCACAGTTGATGCTCACTCAGTCTTGAACAAAGTACCGATCGCTTCCAACGCCATTGCGTTATCCACTTAGCTACTGAGTCCTGATAGCTACTTGCTTGTGCAATGAGGTGAAGGTGAAATTCACTTGGTATTGTTTGTTTGAATCTTTGCATTGATGTTTAGAACTGAAACTGATCAGTCTCTTATTGGCATATGTACATACCGTGCGGATTGTTTCGATAATGCTTGTGAATTGATGCAATTTCAGTCCTAAGCTTCATTGGGAAGATTCAAACAAACAATATAGAAATGAATTATGTATTACTTGATTGTTAAGCATCTTCCACATAATCTGGGCCAATGAAAGTGACATCCTGATATGTAGAATGGAGATATAGCAAAGTGATATTACTTCATGATATATCTAAAACAAGAACGTTACAAATGTTAAAAATTTTCTTTGAGTGTCATGAAATCCGTCTTAAATGTAGCAAATCCTCTCTGTAAGTAATAGGTACAATTCAACTAATAAGTTGATAACCCTTAGTTACAGAG